TTTTCCCACCGACCGCGCCCTCGGGGACTTCCTCCACTTGGAGGTCGTACTCCGAGAGCGACGCGTCCACCGCGGGTGACGGCGGCACCGGGTCGCGACGCCCCGCGCGCTCGTAGCGCGTCAGTCGCGACCTCAACGCGGCGATGGTGCTCGTCGCGACCAAGCCGCGCACGATGGCCTCATCCTGAAGCTGCTCGAGTGACAGCTCCAGGATCCACGCGTCGAGCTCGGTCTTCGGCATTCCCGGTGGAGGCACGAGAGTCTCACGATTCGCACGCGAACACGCTCGCCGCCACTAGCGTCGTGAACCGCGATTCTCGCGACCCGACGGCACGCGATACTGCTCCACGAACCGTCGCACTGTCCGCGATCTAACTCGCCTGTCACTTTTTCCGCGATTCCGCACAATCCGCGCACTTTCACTGTCGCGCGGAGACGCCTCGCTTCGCGCGCACACACAAAAATAATTGTCCGGGGGGGGGGCCGACTTGGCTCACCCCGTGACACGGCAAACGGTATGACACACGGACAGTAACGGACACACCTACCACCACCAAGCAGGCAGACACCCCACACTCGGAGTGGTCACACAAAAAAAAACGATATCAGAAGAGTCCCTCAAAAACCCTCACTTCCCGTCCGTCCACCGAGACGGCAAGGTCGCAATTTCAGGACCCCACGTTGGGCGCCAAAAATTTGCGACGATACTCGCGAACGGAACTTCGCGAGCGACGGCAAACAGTCGCCTGTTCGCCGCGTCGTCAAATTGCCGTTGGCTCCCGGACACGCCACTAAGATTTTCGCGAGAGTTGGGCGCCAGGTACGGAAAGGCCGCACCACCTCGATAAACGCGAGAGCAGATTATGAGCATGATTATTACGAAAAGAATGCGCGTCCCGGAACCGTCGGGACCGGTAGCTCTATTAAATTAAAGTCGGAGACGGGATGGGTTGGAGGAAGCGAAATCACTAGACTCGATATCAGTAATAATGAGACGTTTATTCGGGGACTCTCGCACGTCCCGATAGTCAATATACGCGAGACGGTACTATTCGCGAAATGTTACACGAAGCCCGAGGACTCTTTTCTCGGGCGAGCCTTCTTTATTCGCGCGACCACTCCGCGGACGAGACACGGCACGATACGATACGATGCGCGACACAAATAAAGTTGGAGCAGATGGTCGATCTTACAATTACGGCGACAGCCCTTGCGTCGGCGGCGGCGTCGGCGGTGACGGCAGCGG